AGATGCAGTTTTAAACGATCTATAATCAATACTTTTTAATGACAGTAAATGGAATTAATGCATGTGAAGTGAGAGTTAGGGGTTACTGTAGAGTTAGGCCTATAATATTATATGTGATTATATGACTATATGTGTATAAATGATCAATTCTTTGTTAGCAATTTCTCCAAATATGATTAAAAAGTAATATTTCAATATTAGGTTTGTTTTTACCAACCCAGGCAACGGCGAATACACACACACACACACACACACAAGCCCGTCCAGCTATCTTAGTGAGGACCTTCATTGACATAATGGTTTCCCTAGCCCCTTACCCTAAACCTAACCAGAACCTAATTGTAACCCTGACCCTAAAGCCACATTTTGAGCCTCAAAAATGCCTTCAAACTTCAAACTTGTGAGGACCGGTGTGTGTGTCCTCACAAGTAGAATGCAGATTTCAGTCCTCACAAAGATAGCTAGACAGGAACACACACACACACACAAACAAGAGGGAAAAAAACAGAAAAAAAGAAGAAGAAAAAGTTAAGCTTCATACTTGAAAAGATTTCCCTATTTTTCAAAATATTATTAGGATGCAACAAAAGGTAAAATAATGATAAAACGGGAAGATGAACAGGGAACAGAAATAACCAACAAAGGAACACATGTAATGTAATCTGATCTTGAAACTACCAATTCCTTATTTTGGAATTTGGAAATTTCTTTGAAAAACAAATATAGTTTTTGACCCCAGAAATGACTTCTAATGATCAAATAGGACTAAAGTCTTAATGCTGAGTACAATGTATTGAAATCCATTTGATTTACATACATATTGTTTATTTATGCATGTTTACATTTGTAGATAGCAGATGGCTTTTTTGGTTCAAGTCACATTAAATGATGCAATACAGTGAATCAAAGGGCTTTTTGTGCCATAAAGGAAATTATTTTCAAAAGCTCTGTTTTTAAAGGTAAAATATTTTATACTCACAAAATCTCTCATTGACCTCATCCGAGGTGGGAATGATATGATCGGAATCTTGAGAAAAAGATTTAAACAAATAACAAAAAGGTGGATAAAACCGAACTCCAATCAAAGAAAATGAAACCTTTTACAAGAAACAGACAAAATGATCCAAAAGAGAATAAGGGAGATGATGGAAAATGGTAAATTCCTATTTAAAATCTTCTTTTCTATAAGTTTAAATGGGTGGAAACACATTAGTATGGACCTGTGTCTGTAAGCGTGTTGGTAAAGTGTTGCATTTAATGCATTTAAACATGAGTTTAGAGCATGTTTTTCTCTTTTCCATGATTTGCAGTTTTGAATAGAGTTATGTTTTGCTGTCAACAGGATAAGGAAGCTGTCAAAAAAGAAGTACGCTTCAAGCAGCATTACAACTCTGCAGTAGAAAAGCAGATAAGAGCAAACACCTTTGTAAACATTTTTGGGTGAAATATCGTGGCGAGAGGGGAAAAAAAGAATTGTAGCACAATTCTTGGAAGTTTGATATGGCTTCTGGTCTATTCTCAGTCAGACCATAGTTTAGATGCCTTGATAGCTTTGAGCCGTCAGTACGCAGCTCACTGAGCTTACAAATAGAAGCTGTTTTTGTGCTGTTGAATTCCCTCTGAGGGGATGTTTGTGAAGGTTAGACTGAGTTTTCAAAGATACCAGCTGTGATGGAACACAAAGGTCTTTGCTCTCCCAGTCATGCTTTTCCCTCGGGGTTAGATGAGCCATTTAGTAATACTAAACTGTTATTCTACGTTTGCGTGTCATCAGGAGATATCCTTTTAATTCCAAAGGACTTATAAATAAAGTTTTAACTGTTGCTGTTTTAAGAGATGTTGGTGTGCGACTAGAATTCCAGTGTTTTTTGGATCAGTACTTCACAGTAATAATCCCAAAGGACAAAAAAGGAAATCATGAATTTCTTAAAACTGCACCAGTGATTCTCCCATGCTAGCCACACAGTAAGAAGCTGTCCCAAAATAAAATTATGAGACACATCAGAGAAACTCCAGGGAGTAACAGTGAGACAGGGTTAGGGTGCAAGCTTTGGTTCACAGCAGCCACTTTGAGGGATGAAATCTGGACAAATATTGATATTTATTAGTATCTTTGTACTGAGAAAGATAAAGAAGAAGTCAGCCAATGCAGCACACCAACAATAAACCACAGCACATCACCGCCCTTTACCACTGCACACGAGAAAATTAAAAGTTAAGCTTCCTGTCACCGCAGGCTCTCGCTATGCTGTCCATACAAAGTGCCAATACTGCTGCTAGCACAGTGAGTCGCCTCACTATCTCTGAGCAGCTGTGTTGACTCTTTTGCACTAAAGCATCATAGCATATTGAGAAGCAGGGAACATTGATCAAAATTACAGTCTGATTAAATAATATAATGAAATCTGGGCTTAAACAGTAGATTTTATGGTGAAAGTGTGTCAAGAAATTAACAACTGGGCTAAAACAATTAGCTAAAAAAAATGGATTTTCAAGTCTGACCGATTTATTATCAAGGCAATGCCATTGTTAGCTGTATGCCAATTTTTGGCTTCACAATCTGTAATGACTTAGAGCTGAAAATGTAAAAAGTAAAGACACAAAGGGAGAGACACCCTTCAAACAAAATGAGTGTTAGCTTAAAGCATTAGCTTAGACTCTAGATATAGTTAAACAGATACTGATAGCTAAGAGTAAGCTACTGGATAACAGGGATTTAAAGTAGCCTAAAACAGATGGATAAATGAGTGAAAATAGGACATTGCAATTATGAATAAATACCTGTTAGCTGGAATTAGCAGGTAGCTGTAAACTGGATAATGGTATTGGATAAAAGTAGTAACTAAATATTTGGATATTACAGGTGAAATTGCTAAAGCTAAACCCAAGAGTGGGTACGCGGTTGAAGCAGGTCATAGTTGTTAAATTAGACATAGATAAATACTTAAATGTGTAGCTTAGAGTCGTGTAGCATAGAACTGGATAAATGAAAGCTAAAGATAAAAAATAATGGTTCAAAATTTTATGGATACACAACTGCTGAAAAAAATGGAAACATTTCTAGATGAATGGTTAGAAAAAATTATGGATAGTTTGTGGTAAGTGTTGAAAAAAGGCCTACTGGTCTAAACAGTGACAGTTAACAGATGTCTACTTATAAAACCAGTCTTAAACAACACCCAGTTTATGATGAAACTAAACACACATTGAATATGTGTCCTACATCAAGTAACAGCCTGTAACAAATCACAAAAGATGAGTAAAGTAGAGTGGTCACTGCTGTGTGACACAGTCCACTTGACTCTGTCTTTGTCTCTGCACTTGACTCATGGCCACAGTTACTCACATGCAGACACCAGGGGTGGAAAGCAGCTGTGCACAGTGACCCCGGCACCTGTTGTGGCAATCTGGCTAATAAATCAAGGAATCGCTGTATGTGTGTTCTTCACATGGAGACAAACGATTATTCTTTCTACCTCAGACCTGGTGGCTGTGCAGCTCTGGCCCTGACCAAGTGCACTGTCCGGTCGGGGTACTTTGAATGAGTGGTGTTCCCATTTCACAAGGTCTCTAGTTGCTAGGTAACATCTTTGACTTCACAGATGATGTCATGAATCATGATGTTTATGAATCAACATCCTCCACTCTAACATGTACATGCTACTACACCTTAGGGAGGAGACTTGTTAAAAACAAATTAATTTAAGCATATGTAACATTTGACACTTTAATAGAGGGACCACAGTAGTGCTGTTATCATTTCATATATTGCATTTTAGAAGAATTATTCAGATTATGTGTCATAAAAACAATGATTGCAGGACAACAGGGGTACCTGATGCTGTGATGGTAATGTTTAGTTTGTTTGTTTTTGCTTTTTATGTCTTTTCTTCTTCTTTTTTTGCACTTGAACATGATGTAATTGATTGTGAGGACAAGCAAAGCTGCATTATTTCTGTGCAACATAAAGTAATTACGGCACTACAGCTGTTTTATTACTGAATCTCGAGTCTTCCGGTTGCAGAGGAAGCCCAGGTCGCAATACAGGTTTAAGAGATGAAGTATTTCATTTATTAGGTTACGTGTTCAACAGGCCGTGTTATAATAAGCTCACCGGGGACTTTGTGGAATCATTATCAGCAGACTTTTTTCCTGCAAGCCTCTGAGAAAACCCACAGTATGCAAATACGCATGGAAACATCAGTTTCCACAGAAACCTCACCTGTTTCTCATCTTGCCGTGGGCACTAATGCAAAATACGACTGTTACATGAAAATGTTCATTCACGTGTTCATCTTAGTGTGAAAACTGAAAGCACTGCCAGTGAAAGTGAAGTCTGCGTTTAATTCATTTTTGCACAAGATGTAGTCAGTCGGCGGCTTACCTTGCTCTCCGCAGGCTTCCTTTCCTACAAATGGCAAAGTTTTGATATATAAAACCACTTGATGAAACGAGGCGACAGAAAAAGTCGACTTAAAAATATCACGCAAATGACGGTTTTCACTTCCCACTGAGCGACCAACTTCTTCAATTCACGCCTTAGATTTTCCGTCCAGCTGCACTTCACTTTTTTTCTTCTTTTTTTTAAAGTTGACTTTAAAGCGCAGCTCAATAATAAAAACACACCATCGAGCTCTGATCGACGTGTCTCCACTGAAAGAAAGAAGACTCCGGCTTTTGTCACTTCACAAAGATGAGATCTGCTCTTTACTCTCGCTCTGCTCCGGTCAAGTGAGTGTCTCTCGCTCTCGCTCTCTCTCTCACACACGCACCCTCCATAAAACAGGCTGGCTGTACCTCAGTTTCCTCTTCGGGGTCAGACAGCTAAAAGCATGCTGTGTATACGTGATGATGGTGATGATGTCACACGTTAAACACGGTGTGTCTGCTGTGCAACTTGAGATGCTCTGAATCCGTTAAGCCGGTTATCTTTCTAACACAGAGGGACAATTATCCGGTTAGTGCTCGGTACCAGAGCTCTGTCGCGTTTTATTACCTGGATAATGTGTGTTGAGTGGAAATGTAATGTTCTAGCCCCGGGCGAGGTTCAAAACCCTGCGTGACATAAACAAAGGTGCAGATTTCAGGGGGATGTGCGCTCTTTTTAAACCCCGTCGTCCGGTATGAACCGTCACCACCCCTGACTCAACTCTGTCTCGCTCTCTCGCCTTTTCTTTAAAAGTTATTCTTTTAAAAGTAGTCTTGTCCAACAGTTCTTCAGGCTTTCAAAGTCTCCTAAAGCAGCGGTCCCCAACCCCCGGGCCTCGGACCAGTACCGGTCCGTGA